AAGTTATAAGGGCAGAAAAATACAGCTAGCCTCATCTCAGAAGGCAGCTTACAAAGATTTTCGTGAAAAGGAGGCAGTGAGAAGCCAAGTCTTCACTAAACATAGTTAGCATTTCCTCACTTGATTGGAACTTTGTATTCTTCCCTATAGTTATTCATGATAAATACACTATTATTAAAAGTGTGGAGTATCCAGTTAATATTTCACTATTTTGTAGGTACAGCACATATATTGCCATCGTTAAAATTTCCAGCACATAAAATTGTGGAACTCTCCAAATGAACTTACAAACTACGAGCCCAGGTCTTTATGCATTAATTTCTGGGAGCAAAAATATATTATGCACTGGCAGAGTAGTTGCAGAATATTCAGCATTATTCATTACATATAAGATGCTATATTTTCCAAGTGCTGACATTTTCCAGCCTGGACATCTGTGCCAAGCTGAGGGGTTTTATGTTTATGCTTTATTCCAGACAAAATGGTTCACTGGTTTCTAAGAACAAAGCTAGGAAAAAAATAACTTTTGGGAAAGCTCTATTGCTGCATATTTTGAGGCAGGAACTTGAAATCTTGCTCACAACTGCCTTTATGCCTACAGAGAGTGCCCTGGAGCTGCAGGGGTAGGTCTGGCTGCTGACCACATGCTGAACTGCAAGGGTGGAGACGGACCTTCACTTCCGACTGGGACCAGACAGGGAACTGAAACATGAAAGGGAATGAGCCCTGAGGTTTCACTGACATTTCCTTGGCACGTCACTGCTTTATACAACTTCTCTTCACCAGCTTTCTACCAGCCCCTCAGTGGTGTCACTCCAAATATGCGTGGTGGCCCTAGCTGGCATGGGAAGAGCCTTGTCATGGTGGAGCGGGGTCATTTCTAAGCAAGATGACTTTCCCAGTGACTGCTTGGGCATTTGCCTTGCACAAGAGAGGAGAGGTGGGAACGAAGAGAAGGAAGCAGAGGGGAAAGGAGGTAGAGGACTGTCTAAAAAGACAGCACCCAAAAAAACAATGATCAGAAACCATGTTTAAGAGTAGCTTTTGTATTGCTTTGTAGGAGAAGCACTTTTGGGGAGAAAAGGAAGTTTTCTGAGCCAATGAAAAAGAGAAAAGAGCCAGAACAGTGGGGAAGGAAGTGAGTAAATTTAGACAAGCAATCTTGTATGTGTGGAACCAAGCACACTATCTCCTCCCTGCTGGCAATGGCTACTTATGTCATCTGTCTGGCCACAAAATGACAACCTTGGACTCAGAGCAAGAGGAAGTGGGGAATCTAATCAGAAAGGCCAGAGAAGGACACTTGGAGAGGGACATTCAGACAGGCTGGGCAAGGAGCGGCGTTGCATGGACAAGCAAAATACACAAGAGTCTGTTCCTTGGGCACTGCTCCTCGTCACAGCCCAGACTGGAATCCAAGGTCCTGAGCACACAGCATCCTCTACCAGCAGATACCTGGCCATATTTTAAGTCACTGAACACTATAGCCATAAAGACCCCATATGGCAATGAATATGTCTGTCTCCTTGCAAAGATAATGCACAGAAAAAAAGCCTGAAGCTGTAAACTTGAACAGGAAGAAAACAAATGACCAAATGCAAGCTCACTAGCAGCACTCGTTCACAGCAAGAAGTGTTTGTCTTTTGCACCAAATGAGCCCAAAGCTGACGTGCTCAGAATATATGGCAGTGCATTTAGGGCCTGGGCCAACACATACAGACAAAGAAGCAGAATTACTTTTGTAGACCTTATCCTATTTCTTGCATTTCTTAACACAGTAGAGTAAGAAGGTTCAGAGCCACAATTTCTAAAGCCCCTTTATTTTCTGGCAAATAATAAATATATAAATATCCTTTAAAATCCTTTCCCCATTACCCAGATGAATGTTTTAAAAGTCGTTTACAATTTATTATATATCCTCAACTACCAAGCTATATTTTGGTTATGACCATTTAAATCTTACTCTTGGGTCCAAGATTTCCAGTTAAGACCCTTTAGTCCAAAGTTTGCCACTTGTCTCCTTTCAAAGAAACCTCCTCCAAGAACTTTGCCACATGGAAATCTGAAACTCAATTAGTTTTTCAAGTCCTTCCGCAAATAATATCTCTTCTGCTGGAAAAATTTAGCTTTACATCCATAGCTCTCAGATCAGGTTTATATAAAAATAATAACAATACAAATGAGGAAACCCATGTTCAAACCTGTGAATCACACCGCCTCCCTAAACCACATTGAAATTAGAGCTGCTGGGGAAATGTCCTTTAAACTTCTGTAGGAGTTGTGATAAAAGGCAAACAAGGAGTTCACTTTTATCTAATTTAGCCCCTCCAAAGTTATGCAAGGTGTCTACACTCCAGTAAAACATTTACTGCAAGCAGCTGTCATCAAAGGTATTACCTTGGGCAAGAGAACACAGGAGTGTACATTGTAATTCTGATGGACAAAGATATAAACACGTGATTTAGTATTTATTAAGAAAATATATCAGGGGCTTGTTCAAGAAGTTGTGTCTTTCAGCAGGTGCAAAATTAAACGAGTTATGCAATTACAAACACCTGCCCCCAAAAATGAATTTCCTCCCCCTTTGGCCCTTCTGTTGCTGCATCCATTTAGCCTAAAGAAAGCAACATTTCACAAGAAAAATATTGTCACTCTTGTGTGGTAGAGAAGATGACAAACCTTCTAACACAGAAACTGTAGTGATCTTGACTTTGGCTAACAATTCAAAATAGGGTTCCTTCCCAGAGAAACAGGGGAGAAACAGCCAAGAAGGACCATCTCCAAAGCAAGGATTCCTATCCTAAGGTATAATGTGCAAGTCACACCTTACATTTGAGCTATTCATAGCAATCAAGCCAGTAAAAAAGAGAGAGCTTTTAAGGACAGTCCTAATCTATGCTTTTTGTCATGCAAAATGAATACACGCTCTAGCGACATGAGTTATTTATGTACCTGCAGGGTATTTCTTGGAAATTGTATAGTAACTTATGCAAGCAATGCGAACATTACTAATATAACACCGTGTTATCTCCTTATAATGATGTAAATGCCTCAGATCACCGTAGTATTTGATAACATCACAGAGATAAATGTTTCATACACACATAATTCCAACACAGAGGATGGATGTAGTAGCAAGTTCTGCACTCCAGCAAGCATAACAAAGTTCAAAAATACGGTAACTGGCTCAAAAATGTATCAAAAGTATTTCAAGATGATAGCAAAATGGAGATATCAAAATACAGTGTGTATTTCTAGGGATATTTTTTTTTCCTTTTGATTATGCAATAGTGGAAAAGCTCTGACTTACTCTCTAATCTTCAAAAACTGTTCAGGGAAAAAGGACCAAGGTCCACCTGCCAATCTAAACATAATATTGATGATTGTAACTATGTTACTGAGTACAAATAAACTAAATCAATCTTCAGCCAGGAAAGGTCAGAAATGCACATAACTGTTACAACATCTGGTCAGGAAAACAGAATGCCATTTAAAAAGCTAGGGCAAAGCAAAGGAACATAAGAAAGGCTGAGCACGCGTACTCTCATTACTCTCATCCTTCCACATGCCTCAAAAACAAGACCTGGGATCTATGTGAAATGTATCCTCTAGCTCTTCCCAACTCCCTGCAGTCAGCAGCATTTTCACGAGGTTTGTGTAGCTCTATCTGTGTTGCTCTCTGCCCCTAACCATTCCTTGGTGCACAGAACCAAACAGGAGCTCCAGGACTCATCAGGTACCAATGCCTGGTCTTCCCCACGGCCACAGCCTGGCATCCGGGCATCCCTGAAGATACATCCCAATAAACTCAGCACCAGGGAGCTGCTCTTCCCGCCTTACCTAGGAATTAAGGGTCACCTTCAGCTTCCCAAAGCAAATACAAAGCCCAGTTCAACCCCCAAAAATCTTATAAACTCTACGTTCCTGTACCTGGCTTAAAAAGCTAATAATTCTGTGCAATGCATGGAATATGTTTGCATGCTAAGCTTTCAGCTAGGGAACTTTTCCAAGACTGAGGTTTCAAACAAATTCAGCATGAGTTTTCCATTAAAATTGCTAAAGATGTCTGCAGATATTTTATAAAGATTTTCTTTTTTTACAAAAAGAAAAAAAAGTAATTACTGTGAATATATAAAATGAAATTAGTAATTACTGTGAATATATAAAAATTAAATTTGTTCACAATTTTGTAGAAAATGAGGTATTTTAGGATAAGAAAAAGAGAGGCTACTCTGGACCAAAATTAATATGCTGTAAGTTACATTCAAATGTGCTCTAAACTTTTTAACCTTATGAAGAATCCAACATTTCAGCTGGCATTATAAAATCAAAATAAAAATGTGAGAGAATAATGATGGGAAAGATTTTAGATTTAGAAAGATTCATTCGAGCCTACAGGAAAGTCCTTCTATCTTCAGCCTAAGGTCTCAGTCCAAAGAACTCTTCAGCATGGTCAGGCTCCGTATCGGCACTACGATTGATCCATGCGAGAAAATTTGCAGAGTCAAAGATTTCTAAAAATTCATCCATTAACCTACATACATCACCCAAAAAGTTCTATATATTCCATGGAATATTCTATATATTCCAATGGAAACTAAAGTTTTCAGAGCATATGCTGAAGCTTTCAGTCCCCATGACTCTCACTGCCAGCGCAAGGAACCCCTGCAACCCATTCCCTCCTTCACGTGCACCTCTAGACCAGGCTTGTCAAGACTGCATCAAAGCTGAGCACAGAACTGGATCAAGAAATTCATTAATTTAACTTTTTTTCTTTTTTTTCCCTGCAGGATGTGGTTCACTGGTTCTCTGCTGGCACATCATAGAGGGTGGTACAGGGTAGGGGAAAGCAAGCAAGGGTAAAGTGTCTGATTCCACCAAGTTAAGCAGCTCTACCACAAAACTTAAGACCAAAGCGAACATTTTATTCTTGCTATGAAATCCTACTGACCTCCAGGCTACTCCTGTTCGGGACCAAGATGTAGCAAGAAAATACTCACCACCGGAAAGAGCTTCCTCTCTTACATTGTCATCATCACTAGGCTGATGAATATTCCAGGATGTCAAAGGAAGTGAAGAAATGTCTTCAACTGATGCTAACTTTAGCATGTCCATGTGGTTGCTGTCCGGCTTGTAACGTGGGATGAAACACTCTTTGCCTTGCTTAAAAATATCCTTAATGATTTCTTCTGTCTGGATTTCATCTGGCATGCTCAGAAAGATGGCAATTCTTTTGGATTCCTGGTATTTGGGATGGCCAATCACCTATAGGGGAAATTATTGAAATCAGTTTATGAAGAGTTTACAAAAAGATCAATTTAGATTATTTTAAAAAGACAACTGGAACAAAATATCAATTTAAAAGAGCACATATACAAACTGCCATATCCCATAAAGAGAATAAAATGATTGTGTTTCCTACTCCATCACTACTACCAGCAGCAACATCAAAATAGGTACATTTTGGCACCCAGTGGGCAGGAGAGCGCAGCATAGGATTGGGCCAGCAAAAAACAATTTTGAGGACAGTCTGCTGATCCTTTAAACATTTGTGCCACATAGTGCAAATATTCTCAAAGGACCAGCATGCTTGCAGAAAGGTGAGGCAGGTCAGAGTTACCAGCTTACAGAGATATGGTCCTCTCTTGAATTCTGCTTCTCACACTTGGGCCTAGGTAGTAACTCAACAGAATATTAGTGTAACAGGTAGGTATAACAGTATAAGCTACAGGATACTACAAGGTCACTCAAAACAAAATTTGCCTCAGAGTCGATAACTGCAGAGTTCAAATTCTTGCAGTATCATGCCCCCTTTTTAACTTTTGTTTAACCTGAAAAGCCCTCCATATAGCAAGTTTAGATACAAGACTTCAAATATCAGCTGTGTCTAAGAGAGAGTTGATCTTACAAGAGCACATTTTTCAGAGTCTGAATGACTTTGCTATTTTTTGACTTTCATGAGATTCTCTAGACTGGACTTATGAGAAACTTTAATGTAGGATGGAAAATAAAAAATGCTTACATGCTGAAAAAGCATAAACAGATTCATCTCCCACTATGTCTCTGCACGATTGCAGATAAAATTCTAAAGTAAAATGTTGAGGTGGATTTTTAAGGCTTGTCTTCTCATTCTCCAGTGTCTTTCTTACATCAAGACAGAACAAATACAAGTGTGCCCTTTCAGACTGAAATAAGAGCTATACTTATGTTACACACATACAAAAAACTGTTTAAACCAGCAGACAACCGAGACACTAGGCTTATCTGTGGAATAGAGAACATCAAATCCCCTGTTCTGTGCCTGCATAACTACAAGGTAACTGCTCTTCTGAGCATTAATCCTTACCCCTTTCCCTGTTTTGAGACACCTCTGCCCAAATCAGAGGTTAGAAATGGTTCTCATCCATTTTTGTCTGTCTTTCCATAGTAGTTAAAAGCCCAGGTAAAATATTCAGCAGTTGGATATATTTTTCTAAGGCGCAATATAACGAAACACCCTAGACCAATTATGGTGTGTGTTGCTTGGCCATAAAAAAACTATGTAACAATGCAAAACCAGATTTTGCTTCCTTTTGTAATTTGTGCTGCATTACACAGAGATTATTGCAACTGAGTAAATTATTAGGCAACACAATTTCCATGGTAGCTTTTGCTCAAAAGAATTGACCGTTTCAGCAAACTACAGAATCGATATAATATCTGTTATTCATGTCACCGAGCACAGCCAGGGCGGAACCTTATTACGGGTTTGGAAAAGAGGGAAACTGAGATGTAAAATTCTCCTCTTCGAAGGTGTAGCTGTGGCTGTAGCACCGCACAGGTCACAGCTGTACTGACACACACGTTGATTACGCAGCACGGAAGAAACAGAGGCTGCAGATGTAAAACCACAAGCTACCAGGAAGACTGAAGTTCAGATGAAGCTGCTAAATTTCTGAGCACTTTCTGAGAAAAGTAAAAAATTTTCCACACTTGCAAAAATTATCTGCCCTTTGTTCACCAGCTGACAGCTCTTATGGCAGAATCAGAGCAGGCAAACAGCATGACTTTAATCATGAACATAAACATTAAGAAAGCACAGTCATCCAGAAGCTAATTAAATACTAGTGAATAGGCCAGCCAGGGCAGCTCTTTCAGTTTGAATTTAAAGGCCATTTCAAGATGAAATTTTACTGGGAAAGATGCTGCTTAGGTGCTATAAAATAACCTTGTCACTTTAATTAATTGCAATTACTGATACGCATTTTAAAGCTCCATTTTCAGCTTCATATAGTTCAAAATATTTTCTCGAATTTTTCAGAATTACCCTGATGTCTGCTATAGCACCTTCCCATAAGGAAACCTGCAGGTGAGCAATGACACTGAAGAAAAAGTCTGAATTTCAGGATTCAGAACTTATGCTAGATAATCAATACTCAGTAATAAAAAATCATATATTTCCTAATGTCTTCTTTTAAGGAAAACAAAAATATTATCTCTTAGGATGCATGCATCACCAAAAATGACCGATCTGTTGCTCAGTTTATCAGCTGCAGTTAAACAAAAGCTGAGGGCTCCTAAAAATCTCGTACCATGAGGGCTTATAAAATTGGCTCCATAGCCTTGAAGAGGACGAGTTACAAAATATTATAGAAATTGAAAGACTTAAGTATAAGATATGAGATTATTAAAAATGCATTTTCTTTAGGGTAGGACCTAAAAACAGACAAACTTTTTAAACTTTCTTCTATCTAAAGCTCATGTGCTGCCACATCCTCAAAATTAAAGGAAGTTTATAAAACAATCTGCAATCCCTTGGCAGGAAAGGGCTAATACAGCTGCAGATCAGCTAAAGAAATGAATAAGTAAATAAATGCAGGCCGTCCCTGCACGATGTGTTTGGAGGCACAAAATCAACACGAGCCTTAGGCCGCTTCCCGGGCCTTTCCCCGCCACGGCCCG